ATTGCTCTAACAAAACATTTGAGAGATAACCTTTGTTATTTTGCGCACACTTCCTATTTCGCATCTAGTCTTAAACATGACATCAGTTTATACCGGTTGTCCTCTGCAGTCATTGATAGACCACAAAAGATGTGGGCGAAATGGCTGCCCGTGGAACGTAAAACGCGGTATGCAATGCCACGCCTGCAAGGCATGGTGGCACTTTAAATGCACGTGTTTACAGGACGGCCAGATAAGCCGATTGGCTAACTCTCCTGACCCGTTTGTTTGCTCCAGCTGCCTCTAAGTTAAGGGTGCAATGCATACGACAGCCAAGAAGAGAGCCCCCTAAAACGGTACTCAATCCCCACCGCAGAATCGGAAAGACCGATGTGAGTCCTCCGCTTTGATCGGGATACTTGAAGCGCAATTGGAGCGTCTTTCGAAGGCTCTGGAGGATTCAGACATAAAGAGTGCAGTGACTTGGACTAAAGTTGATAAGGAAATTTCTTTGCTGAACGAGTACCTCGCGCAATCCATACGGGTCCTCTGTCTGCGAAGTAATTCATGCAACTCTAACGTGGCTATACTGACCGTCACAGCGTCTCTAGTGGACAGGCGCTTAAGAGAGAACAGATTGACAATTTGGGGGTCACTCTCCGGAAAAATCACGCCAGTGCAGCTGGCACAATCGATCATTGTTAGTGTCCTCACCAAGCCTGATCAATGGCTCCACGCAGAATGGTTATGCCGGAAGGGAAGCAAGAAAAATCTTGGCGTTCTGGTCACCCTTTTCTCTCCATCTGCAGTGCAGAAGATCTTGGGGCGGGCTGACAGCATTCAAAAGACCAATCCAATAATCAGGTGCCTATCTGAGGATCGCCCGCTAGGCGCGCGAAAGTTTGGTCACAGCACATCAGGAGTAGAGGCACGGAACAGTCTCCCGCTGGGCACCAATTCAGCCGGCCCCAAACTCATGGCCAAGCCGATTGTGCTCCCGAAAGCAGGCCGACGGAACCAGCTGCGTCTCTTGACATCAGTTTTTATTTGTCCACCACGGGCCTCTCGCCAACCAAAGGCGGTGATGCCCTGGGGAAGACAAACCTCACATGCAAACAGCGCCGAAACTACGTGGAGCTATCAACGTTTATCTCCGTAGCAGACAACACAGGTGCGGTCATGCACTCCTCAACAAAGCCACAGCCTCTGAGCTGGGCTGAGTCGGATCCGCGGGGACAAACAGCGAGGCCAACTTCCA